GTGTCTTCGAAGCCATTGCACATTATCCAGATCGAATCAGACAGTCAAGCAGAATAGCTGCAAGTATGCCAACATCACAAGCCAGCGTTGAAAGATTATTTTCAGCTTTGAAATTAATACTAAGTGATAACAGACAATCGATGAAAGAAGATTTGCTTTCCGCTATTTTGTTTATTAGAATGAATGATTGAATTATTGACTTAACTTGATTATCTTGTGTCTGTATGGTGTATCATTTTTATTTTTAGAACCTGTACTTTCTTAATTTTTTGTATATTTCATCAATTTAACTATACGTTACGGAAGTGGTACTAAAAATCAATCAATTGATTGATTAAAAAAATATTTGAAAAAATTTGTGTTAATTGATTCTAAAACACACTCCCGCCTCGGAGCACGGAGCGGAGCGGAGCAAACTTTTTTTATGCCGGAGCGGAGCTGGAGCGGAGCAATTCAAAAAAGTGCTTGCTCCAAAGCCCTGCCGACAACAGCGTAGACTTCGCTGAAAATAGAGTAAGGGTGAAAAAAATTTCAACGACAATTTTTATACAATTGTTAAAAAATCTGGCGGCGGCCTTGACGAATTTGGCGGTAACTTTTCATTTAATTAACGATAGCAGTAGCAGGTCTCCTCTTTATGAGTAGCATTAAGAACTTTGATAATAGATAAGTCAATGACCTTAATATCTGGGTCAAAATAAGCAAGACTGCCCCTTGCATCAACAACTTCCTCTTCGTTATCAGTGCTTGGAGAGAGAGTAGATGCTGTTATGGCGCTTGAAAGATCTTCCTCTTCCAGCATTTGCAACTGTCTGTCAACCTGAGAAATCAATCAATCAATAAATTTCAATCGATGACTGAATTAATCAATCAAACATTCAATCAGTCAGCCAACAAGAGCAATCAGAACTGAAAGAAAAATAGACAGTCAATCACATCAATTCAACCATATCTCTGTGGGCATCTGCTGTCTCGAAAATGCGACATGAGATGTCCTTCAATCTAGACTGAATGTCTCTGTCTGGGTCGTCAAAATTGTAAGAGGCGTCTTCGACAGCTTTGTATAAGAGGCTGTAGACCTCCTTAGACGTGGCTCGGTCCAGGGCTAGCTCACCTCTCTGTGTTCAGATTGGTTGGTCAGTTTGTTAGGTGTGTTGCAAGTGGCTAGTCGTTTGCTATGAGAGTAGTGATTGGTTGGTTGCTTATTCTTTGTTTGCTTGTTTGTTTGTTAGGTAAACTTTAAATAGAGTGGTGTGATTGATTAATCATAATTAACTGATTTATGAGTACACTGGCACCTACAATGCCCTTGATGAGTACATCTGTACCGGCATACACAAGTACTTTCACTACTTCCAAATGGTTTCTATCAGCTGCCCAGTGGAGTGCAGTCCAGAGATTCTGAATATATGACGATGTTGATGGTGATAATATTGGAGATGATGATGAATATGCTGATGGTGCAGATGGTGATGATAGCGATAGTGTCATGGATGTTGATGATGATGATGATAGGTCATAGATATTGATGATGATGAAAATGACAATAGCTAACAGATCCTTGTGAATTGATATCACATCCGGCTTGCAGGAGAACCTGGGCGACCTTTGGGTGACCGTGATAGGCACAAAACATCAGAGGTGTGAAATCAGCCTGCCAAATAATTACGCTAATTGCAATAAACTTAAACCAACTTATCAATCAGCTGAGATAATCAATTACTCATATGAATAAATTCACATGCCAATCACACCAGTCACTCATACATATCAATTTACCTAACTGCCAATCAGAAGAAAGAACAAACCTCGCCCTTATCACTGCTCTTACTATTTATATCACTTCCAGCATTTATCAAAAGTAGGGCAATCTGCTCTAGTTCATTTTCATTGGTTGATGGACTCCTACAAGCTTCATGTAAGGCTGACCTCATGTCCTACCATTGGTGGAAAAAATACACATAATTCACGAACAACATTATCGATAACAAACTTTGAAATAATTGCAACATTTTACAAATGGTTTTAAATATTAAATAATTTAAACAAAAACCTGATTCTGTAAAGTAACAGAACAATTGTACTTCAAAAGCATTTTAACAGCATCCAACTGACAAAAGTAGGCAGCATTTATGAGGGCAGTCCAGCCATTCTGAAAGACAGTAAATAAAAATCAAGAATAATAAATAAGATTGAATCTAAAAAAAATTATTTTACTTTATATAAATATTACTTTAATATAAATATTACTTTATCTTGGCAGTTAATATCAGATCCAGCTTTAATTAACAATTCGATAATATCAGCATGTCCCTTCATAGCTGCATGGTGGAGAGCCAAATTGCCCCTCTGTAGAAAAAAAGTAATTTTTCCTAATTCACTAATGTAGGAACCAGAGGTTCTTGATTTGCTAGAGATTTATATGTATATGTATTTTTTGTGTTTAAAAATTTTTTTGGTACAAAATTACTACTAACATCATCTTTAGCATCAATGTTGCATCTAGCATCCAGTAGCATCTGCACTATTTCAATCTTTCCTTGTGAAGCTACATGTATGGCGCAGGAGTTATGCTGATTGTGAGTCATGAAAATTAATAAATTCACTTATGCCAAATAAATCTAAATTCGTTTTAATAAATTAACAAATCAACATCAATAATTAAATCAATAAAAAATTAATGGCCCACTAACAGTGTAAGAGACCCAGTTAACATCGATTCCTTCCGCAATATACTTCTTAACTTTCAACTTGTCCCCAAATCCACATGCCTCCCAAAATGCTTCTTGCTTGCTGGCTGCCAAACCCATGATTTATAATATATAATAGATGGATTATGACAATTTTTTAACTGTTTTTTTCCTTTGAAAGTCCTGGAATCAAATATTTTAATTTTTATTCTTTCAATAAAAATCATTTTGAACTTTTAAAAGGTTTAAATTACTATGTGAAATTAATATGTTAAATTAAATGTTTAAAATAAATATATAATTTGGTTAGTAGTTTTTTCAATTATAATAATATGATATAATAAAGAAAACTCTAAAATTTGATAAATAAATATTAACCAATACAAAACACTAACATACTTGTTTTTTCTTGTTAGATGTAAGCTGTCTCCAACAGAAATTTGTCTGGTTAGACTAGAAACAAGAAACAAACAACTGCAACTTATCAAAAAATGATTGCCTAATTTTTAACTAATAAAAGTCAATTTTCCCTGCTTAACCGATTTGTTGACGATATTTTGTAGTTCATTTATTTTTATTGTTTGTCCGCTGAGCCGAAATCGTGGATTGGTGAAGGATAGAGCTGTGAGATGAGAGAGTTAGTTTAGTAGTGCAAATATTGAAAAATCAAAAATTCCTGTATAATTCAAAAAAATGAATTAAATTATATTCAATCAAAAAATTTTTAACGTAAAACTAACAAAAAGAACTTTGAAGACGTTTCGTAGAGGAATTTATTGAAAATTTTTGGACAACTTTCTTAATTAAATTCACAATTCGATTCGGCCATAGGCGGGATCGGGCTATTTGACAGCTTGGCTTATTGGCTCACTTATGAAATTGCCTGGGTTTTAAAAAACAAGCTACATGAAATATTTACTTAACTTATTGTGTTTAAAACAAATTTATAATTAAATCCAATCATGTATTTCAAAATTATTTTTGCTACTTTAAATATAAAAACTGCATTTATCTTGTGAAATACAGTGAATACTTGAGCCATAGGTCGGTTTACTGAGATTGAGCTTTAGTCACTATTTTTTACTCATTCGACCACGTTAAGCTTGTGTCGTTTTTTAACGAAATAAACGTGAACGGCGTAAATAATTTCCAATTGATGATTCTAACACTTGGAGGCCAGTGATGTGCCGGCAATGGTTTACTATCTGTGCAGTAATACTTTACTATGCGGTGGTGTGGTCACAAATTATTTTGAATTCTCTCAGAAAAACTCAAATTGCGTTCGTCTTAAACTTAACCCCAAGCAGAGAAGATAGGGAGCAATTTATTTAAAATATATTTATAATCAGAGAAATTATAAGAGAAGAATTTAATTAATTTCTAATTTAATAATTGAAATAACATTGGCCAGAACAACGGGCACAAAATGAATGACGATGAGGAACTCAAACAAGCTATTTATTTATTCATTTTTGACTTTATATATAAATCTATGGTCAAATCTAAATTTTGTTACACTTCTGCTGATGCGTGGATATAATACATATATATATATATATATATATATATATATATATATATATATATATATATATATACATCATGATATACATAAATCAACCAAACAGACTATATATATATATATATATATATATATATATATATATATATATATACAATATATATTTATGAAAACATTTTAAAAAACCTTAATACTTCGATTTCATTGGTCAAGTTGAATTTACATTCAGATAAGTTCGAAATCCACATTTAGTCTAAGTTTTTTTTTAGCCTTAAAATTTTGGGAGGGCGGTTAGAAAATTGTCAAATTCGCCAAAAAATGCAATCGATGAAGAAGTTTCTTCTTGCAAAACCACTGAGGTGACATTTTTGTTTAAAATTTTTCCAATTTTATATTTTGTCAATGTCTGATTAGATTTAAAATTTGCTTGAAAGTCGATCAATTCGTAGTTCACATGACAGCTACTGCTATCAATTTCGTGTTAATACATACGCCCCTGTTAAGTTTTACAAGGGGCAGATGTTTTCGTCTATTTATTGGACGGAAATTAGGCAAATAAAATAAAATTATTTGATAAAAAATTAATAAAATTTTTATTTTATTTTATAGAAAAAAGAATTAAATGTGAATTTATTCAAACTAGGAAAATGTTTTTATTCTCTTCCTCTATTATTTATTATTTTTAAAAATTATATTTAATTTTTAAATGATAATTATAGAAGATAGATGGATGAATCATTTTAGCATTGATAATAGAATTTGAATTACTAAAAATGTATTAAATGAAATATTATTATTAATGTTTTAATAAAAATGTCAGGTTTTATAGTTCTTACACTTATCAAGCAACAAATGAACCGATTCTCTCATACGAAAAAGGTACCAAAGAAAGGGATTCCCTGATTGAAAAGCTGAAAAATTATAACTCAGGAATTCATGAAGTTCCAATTGTTGTTGGGGACAAAGAATACACTACCGACATTGTTAAATATCAAGTTAAAGTAAATAACATTGTTATTAGTAGCTATAGTAGTAATACTTAATGTAGATAAATTGTGTTATATAATTAATTATTGAATAATATTTTATCTAATTATATAAGTTTAAAAATTATTTTTCTCTCTCTCAGCCTCATGATCACAAAAGTAGGCTGGCCAAATTCTACTATGCTGATAAGGTTCACATCCCATCACATGATTCAAATTATATTACAGATATAATATAAAAATTATAAATAATAATATTAAATAACAATATAAATGATTCCAGGCACTGTTAAACAAAGCAATAGATGTGAGTCAGTGTGCATTGCGGGGATGGGACTTGACACCATTTGAAGAGAAAGCCAATATTTTTGCCAAAGCTGTTGACCTAATTCGAGGAAAATATAGGTTATGATGATGACAGTGATGATGGCGATGATGACTATTACCAAGTTAAAATATGGCCACATGCCTAAATCACAAAATAAGATCCATTGTTAAAACTGTGCAAAAATTGAAGTTGAAACATAAAATAATAAAGAAAAAATTTCAAACGACTTCAAAATGAACGAATGACCTCGAACTTAGGTTTGACCTCGTGGCGAGTACAATGTTGGGTCAGGGTAAGACCATTGTGCAAGCTGAGATCGATGCAGCATGCGAATTGGCCGATTTTTTTTCGTTCAATGTTAAGTGGGCTAATGTTAGTTAGTAAAATGAATGAGTGAATCGATGAATAAATAAATGATTGAAGGAGTGAGTGAGCGAATGAACAAGAGATGAATAAATAAATGAATGAGCTGAGGAATGAGAGACCAAGTGAATGATGGATGAGTTGGATCAATTGGATGATTGATTGGCAAATTTCATTGATTTTTATTCACTGTTGTCTCATGTGGTTCCCTAAATGCATTTGGTCGTATATGATTCATTTTTCATTCGTTATTCGTTTACTCATTCATTCACTCTGCAAATCATATAAGGAGGCCAGACAGTGGCAGCCAATCAGCGCCGGAAAAGCCGTCAACAGATTAGAATGGAGAGCCATGGAGGTTTGATTATTCATTTATTTGTTTCCTACGTCTCTGAGTACTTTAATTCATCCATTCATTTATTCATTCCTTCATTTATTCATTTTATTAATTTACTCGTTTATCCACATTTTTCATCCATTCATTCAGGGTTTCTGGGCTTCCATATCTCCTTTCAACTTTACTGCCATTGGTGGTCATTTAGCTGGAGCGCCAGCTTTTATGGTGATGATGAGATGATGATGATGAACGCTGACATTTTTTTTCATTCTTATTCTCTCCCTCCATCTCCCTCTCTTTTTTTTGTTCCTTCGTTTTTTCTTCCCTCCTGCACACCTGACATTTGATATTTGAAGGGCAACGTGGTGCTATGGAAGCCATCAGACACAGCCATCCTGTCGAATTACATCGTCTTCAAATTGTTGAGGGAGGCGGGCCTGCCACCTGGCGTCATCAATTTCGTCCCCTCCGATGGCCCAGTTTTCGGTGACGTCATAACTCGATCACCCTTTTTGGCCGGCGTCAATTTTACCGGAAGTTCAAGGTCGTTGTTTGATTTGTTTGATTTCGATATATATTTAATTCGTCGTCATCAAATTGTGAGTAATCTAAATGTAGTAAACTCTCGCAGAACCTTCGAAGCGATATGGAGAAACGTGGGTGACAACATATCCACCTACAAATCATTCCCCAGACTCATTGGAGGTCAGAATGCTAGTTTCATTAAGCCTGCCAAGATGTACCAATAATGCAAGACAATTATTAAATAACTGAATGCTAATTTTCTCTCTCTCTCTCTCTCTCTCTCTCTCTTTCTGTCTTTCTTTTTTTAACGCACGCATGCATGCACGCACATGATTGGCAGAATGTGGTGGCAAAAACTACCATCTGATCCACCGTTCGGCCGTGCAGAGCCAGGAATGCCTGGAGCACATAGTGAACAGCACCATCAGATCCGCATTTGAATACTCCGGCCAGAAATGTTCAGCCTGTTCTCGTTGCTACGTCCCGAAATCTCTGTGGCCGAGGTTCAGAGATGGATTGGTGGATGTCGTGAGTGGGCTGAGGTTGGGCTCGCCCCTGGATGTTGGCAACTTTCTGTCCGCTGTCATTGATGGGAATGTTAGTTTCAGTGTGAGGTAGTTGGTGGGTGGGTAGCTGTTTCGGTATTGTTGACTGCCCTACTTTAGTTGTTGGTGTCAGCTGCTTGGCGCTCACGTGCTGTCGTCTTGTCCCGTACTTTGCAAATGTAGATTTTTATAGACGCTTGTATCTCAGCACGATAAATTAAACTCTGATGAGTAAAAAATCTGTTGATGTTAAACAGTTTCTGTTTTTATTTGCAGTCTTACAAGAAGATTAGGAACTACATTGATCAGGCTAAGAAAGATGGCAATCTGAAGATCGTCTGCGGCGGAGGCTACGATGAAAGGTGCGTGTGCTCATCCATTCATTCATTCATTCATCCATTTGATCTGTCATCCGTCCATATATCCATCCATAACAAACAGCATTGGATATTACATACAGCCAACCATAATCGAGACGACTGACCCGAAAAATTTACTGATGTATGAGGTAGACTTTGATTGATTTATTCATTCATTTCCGTTCTTTCGTTCGTTTAACAATCCAATCACTCGTGCATCCGTTTATGACAACATAAGTCGCCATCGTCGTCAACAGGAGATATTCGGTCCAGTCCTGACTGTGTACGCCTACGAGGACGACGAGTACGATGACATCCTGAAACTCATCGATTCAACGTCACAGTACGCTCTGACTGGAGCTGTCTTCATTGCTGATCAGTCAGTCGATATCACCTTTTTATTCGTTTATTATTATTATTATTATAACTGTTATTAATTCTGTTTTGTTGCAATTCCTTTAGATCCAATTATATATATATATATATATATATATATATTATATGTATATACGTAAGTATACGTAAAAATCAATTATATATATATATATATATATATATATATATATATATTATATGTATATACGTAAGTATATGTAAAAATCGCCATATTCACCACGATCGTCCTATTTCTAATTCCTTGTCTATATTATTACTTTTACCAATTATAATTATTGTTATAATAATATTAATAATAATAATTATTATTATTATACAGAGAAATTCTTTTGAAAAGCCAGCGAGCCCTGAGGTATAGCGCTGGAAACTTCTACATCAACGACAAATCAACAGGTTCAATCGTAGCTCAGCAGCCCTTTGGTGGGTCCCGTAAATCCGGTGGGGTTATTATTATTGCTATTATTATCTCAAATAAACTAATTTTTATTATTTTCGTTGTTTGCCATTCGTCTATTAGCCTCTCTGGGAGGCTTAGACAACAAGCACACAGTTCATGCATATGCACTAAGTTGCTGCATTACACAGGCATGGACTGCTACTTATTACACAATCTGTTCTATTTATTTTGAGATTACTAATTGACTGTGTGAAAATTAATTTATTGTAATTAATGTTGAAATATCATACCATGTAATTTTTAAAGTTGTTAACTTCTCCTACTTATCAGGAACCAATGACAAAGCAGGTAGCCCTCAATACATCATGAGATTCGTCAATCCACAATCCATCAAGAGCCAATCAGAGTTGAGCACGCGTGTTGATTATGATTACATGAAGGATCCTTTGGAGTTCTGAAAAAATAAAAATTAGATGAATGAGTGAATAAATGAATGATGATCGATTGTTTCATTTATTCGTTTGTTCATTCATTCATTCACTTTTCAAATAATAATATTTTTTATAATTATTGCCTTTATTATTTTAGTAACTTTTTCATGATTCGAACATCATGTGACACTTGAATACTATCATTCTTACATTCATTCCTAATTATAATTGAGTTTGTTTTGTGAATATTGTTTAAGATGAAAGAAAGAGTGAATGAATGAGTGAGTGAATGAATGGATGAACAAATGAATGAATGACAACACTGTTGATCTGTTAATGTTTGAATTAACTTACGAACTAATTAGCCAAATAGTATTCACTTGAATTTTACATTTGTATAATATTAGATTGAGATTGCATTTGTATAGCGCATAATTTCATAGTTTTATCGATACACACACACACACACACACACACAAACACTTGCATGCACACATACATAAACATATTTATGCATACGTTTCCACATCAAAATATTTTTATACTTATATACACACCATCGATATTATTTTAACTACTTTCATATGTTATTTGTTTAAAAATTCTATATATTCAACATATTTAATCATTTGAGATTCACGTTGACTTATTTTTTATATTCATTTTAAAAAGCATATTTCATTTTATTCTGTGATTTATTCGTTATTTACTCAGAGAGAGAGAGAGAGAGAGAGAGAGAGAGAGAGAGAGAGAGAGAGAAACTCAGAAATGAAATATAGACATCATACATTCAATCTTTGTAATCTTATTTGGATCTTGTGCCCTCATAGATGCAGACATTTTGAAATAATACAGAACTGACATGCCATATCATATATTTATATGTGTGAATGTATGTATGCATGCATGCATGTATTTGTGAATGCATATTTGCATGTATGTGTGGCTATGTATGTTGTATGTGGCTAAGTATTTGTGGCTAAGTATTGGAGGCGTGTATGAATTTTATCTAACTCCTCATAAACCAGCAAAAATGTTAAGTGTTAGAGATTGAATGGATGACACTTAGAAGGAAATGAAATTAGGTTATCAATGCCTTCATCTTTTATTGTTATCGTTATGATAATTATTGTTTGTTGTTGTTATTATTACAATTACGTCATTATTAACCTGGAGTACGATGTGCAAGGAAGGAGTGAGTCTATCTTTGAAATGGTTCAAAAAAGAACCTTGAAGATTGCTAAGCAACGAACAGCGCTGCAAACTTAGCGCACAATATCAATGCTAAATCAATAGCAGTTCGTTTGTACGTACGTTCGCATGCATGTGTGTGTGTGCACAAATGTTTGTGCGCGTGTGTATATGTACGTTATGTGTATGTATATGTTTATGTATATGTTTATTATGTGTATGTATATGTTTATGTGTATGCATCATACGTACTCACATTCGTCAATTCTATCCATTAACCAATAAAAACGTAAGCACCATCGCTAGTTTTAAACCCTAAACTTTTTATCATCCCGATGGGCGGAGCTTAAAAAAATTTCAAGGCCTCCCATTAGTGGATATAAATAGAAATTTTACTTCCAATTTATTCACTAGCAAATAGGGAGAAGCTTACAGTTGATACGCATTATTTGTCGCAGAAGCAGTAGCGTTTGAGGCGATTTCGAAGTGTTTAAGCTGTAATAAATTTGAATGAATTATGATAATGAGTTGCCCCCATAGCTATGTAAAGAAAATGTGGTGGAAAATTTCGATTTCTTGTATTTCAAAGTGTTTATTTGTTGATGATGTCTTCAAATTGTTTGTCCAAATCAAAGTTTTACGAGGGACTGATTGCTTGTGAATGAATGATATGTTACACTGACGCTAACAATAATGATACTTATATCAAAAGTACCCTAATATGAACTGAATACATTATTACACTGAATACATATTAATGCCATAAAACATCACATGCAAATGTGTGAGTGAGTACATTACATGGTAAACAAGTTTGCATGGGTATGTTAAATATAGAAACTATATCACATAAACACACTCACACATATATATATATATATATATATATATATATATTCATACATAAGCAATTAAGATAACTATAGTAATAAGCCGAGGTATGCCTTGACATATTATAAACATTATATCAAGAAAATGCATGTAGGTATGCATGAATGTATGTGAGTATGTACGTTTTTATTGGCCTTGCATTTCATTCGTCGCTCTTTAGACATCATCGTCATCTATATAAAGATGTATTCATCCGCCTATATATGCTTGCGTGTATGTATACACACACAAACATATATATCCATACAATATGTATGTATGTACAGCATGTATGTGTGTATGACGGTAAAAAGTCTAAATATTTTTAATTTTCAACTGTATTTATGACTCCAACTTAATATTTGAAATAATGATTATGACGTAATATTATGGTCTATATCACATACACATATATATAAATCAGTATCGAACTGTTGCTGCTAGTATTTGAAAATTATTCTTTCAAAAATCAGAATTTTCATGTGTAGTTGGTGTTGCGTTAAGCAGCTGATCATATATAAACCCACACACACACAAATACATACGTGTATATATATATATATATATATATATATATATATATATATACACGCACTGTATATACACACATAAATATAAACGTTATATGTATAAATATATATATATAAATATACGTGTATATATGAATGTGTATTCTAGTATAAATGAAAAAATTGATAGTCAGTTGGAGCCCAGTTTTTGTGATGGCGGTGAGGCGGTGCAGTGGTGGGCGGTTGCGGAGGTTGAAATATTTGTTAATTATTCATTCTTTTTTAAAAAATTTAATAGGGTAAGGTGTAGGTGTTGCTATTTTTGGCAGTTTTTCATTGCAGGGTTAGGGTTGGGAGTTTATTTGTTTCGTTAAATTATTTTAAAAATTTGACCTAAATAATTGCTAAATTAGCATACTAATTAATTAATTTTCCATTATCACGAGAACAGACGGCAGATTACGGATAAATAAACAACTTCATCATCTTCATCGTCACCTCCTTCAGCAATGGCGCTATCATTATATTTCATTCATCGTCGACCTCCTCCTCCTCCTCCTCATCATCATCGAGGTCGTACGCCTAAACAATCAAGTAAGTTAACGAGGGATACGGTAGGGAACGAATGAAGAAATTAAAAAATGAACTTAACGTCGATGGCAAGGAAATGAATGGAAACGAAAGCCCAGAGGAAAATGATGAAACAAACAAAAACACTGAAAAACAACAACAACAATACTAACAAATCTTTGACCTTCAAGTCCTGAAAAGATCAACAACATTTTTCAAAGCCTCAAATGAGTCAAATGAATCTGCCACTCACAACCTAGGAAAAAATATTTTTAAAAATGGTAATTATATATATAAATATAGAATAAAAGTTGCTTATTAATCGAATTAATAACAATAATTTCAACAAAATTAATAATATCAATAATAACAAGTTATAATAACAGTTTTGATCAAATGTCATTATAGTAGCTAGATATATTTTTATTGATTAATAACGTATCTGCATGTGTGTGTGCACATACATACATACATATATATTATATATAAACAATCACAAACCTCTAATTATAACTTATTAATTTAGTTTACCCAACCAATCACAAACGTCTTATTGCGATTTATCATATAAGTATCAACCAATTCCAATTGTATTATCATTGTAATTAACGCATATATATTCATAAATGTCATCCAATCACATCTGTATAATGTACTGATTTACTTGTAAACCATGTAAACCAGTCAATCAGTGAACTATAAATTAACATATTCATAATCATCACCCAATCAGCGAACGCCTAATTTTATTACTACTATTATTGTTATCATAATTTATAAAATATGTGGATGGCTCACCCGGTGACCACATGTACATAATATTATCATTATCAATATTATTATTATTATTGTTATTAGTATCAATGTTATCTCCACTATAACAGATATAGTTGAAACCATTTATCATCATTCATAGTCGTCAATATTTTAAAATTTAGGAATGAAGTAATAATTATTGTAGGAACTCATCGAACGTAAAACAACTGCATATAACAAACGAACAACAATTCACATGAAAATTCTTAAAAAACGCGTTTGAATGACAACCACCCTCAACAACTTCCATCACCAACAGCCGCGTCACAGACATCACCATCATTATTAACATAACCGAAATCGTTGCCACCATCATCATAGTCATCATTGTCGTCCAGTGGCGGATTTAAGGGGGGGAGGTCAGTCAGAAAAAGTACTGTTCTATGTGTAAAATCGAACAAAAATTGAACAAACACGATAGACAAAAAAGGTCATCAGCCACACTACCAAAAAACATTTTCAAATTTTGGCCCCATGTCAAAGTCGTCTGGGTCCGCCACTGTCGTCACCGCCATAACATCAGCAGCTTAAACGGTGTTTGTTTGTGTGTCTTGCGTATTGTTCTGTCGATCAAAGTTTATTATTATACGACGAATTCACTTATGAACGGGATAAGAGGCATTATTGTATGGCGAACATTATATATAGATAATGTTATATGTGTAACACTATATACAATATAATATATATTTATATGCGTGTGTATTTGTGCGCGTGCTCGCTTGTTTCAATGTCAATGTGTTGCTACTCCATCACACTGCAGAAATTCAGCTGATGTGAAGAAATTTTCGTTTGTTCAGTAACTCATTTGCTTACATACTTGTTCATTCATTTAACTAATCATTAATTCAGTCATTCAACTATTCAATATATTTGTTCACTCATTAGTTCTTAACGTTTCGTATGCTGCGAGCTGTACATACATATTACGTATACCCATGCTCACATCAATTCTAGATTTTTATGTATACGTATAACAGGACATAAATACACGAACACACACAAAAACGAACATACATACATACATATAGATATAAAATATAAATAAATATAAAATTTAAAACATTTGAATTGCCAGCAGGCTAACCTGGGCTCAGCAAATCAAAATAAAACATTATACATACATATTATATATATATACATACTATATATATATTTTATATATATACGTATTATATATAAATATATTATATATATATATACATATTCATTCATTCACTCAATACAAAATCGTATATACGTGCAAACAAGTTTCTAGGCAGAGAAATATGTACATTAGTATTCTATTTATGTGAAGAAAGTAGTAACGGTAGCATCAGCATCAGTATAGTAGTTAACCAAAAAACAGCATTAGTAATAATTAATAATACTCTGCTAGCAGCAGTAGTAGTATCGTGCAGGATTG